GTTGATGAATGTAAAGTGATGTGTATGAAGGGAGAAAAATATTCTTACAAGTTGGTGAGCCTTGGGTTAGCCTTTACAGATCAGACAGGAAAGGAGGCTAGAGTTGTAATGATGCGTGTAGGAAAATATGTGCCCAGTCTGTAATTGTCAATAAAAGGCAAATTGAATGCTAGACATTACTAGCAAAGGAATGGGGAGGAGTGGCACAAAAGCCACTTCTGTGCCACAATACAGACTCACAGTGTGCGTGTACTGTCTGTGTGCAGTGGCTGAGCTGCAATTTTTTTTTAATTCCCCCTGTAATTCTTTCATGTAATCTATGTAAATGTATAGGGCTTTTTGTAGAGGATTTTAGAGAGTTTTCACTGATGTAACATTCCTATGTATAGCAGGCTATCTGGTCCAGTAAACTCTCCAAGACAGCAACTTCTTCCAAGTCTTACATTTAACAAGATGCCGCAGAGAATTACTGCTTTTCATTTGTTTTTATTTATATTCACATTAATGAGCTGAGTATGTTCTTTAATGTATTGCACTTAATTTTTTCCAGAATGAAAAATTTATTGTGCACTGATAGCTGGGAAAACAATTCTGAGTTACTAGGCCATTCCTGGCTGAGCTAATGGTTTGTTTTGAAAACAAGAATGAGCCCTTTAGTCAGCTAGGTCATTCAGTAATCCTTAACCTTTGGTAAAAGATTAGAAGAAACTTTGGCAGGCACTTGCTGGACAAACTTACAATTTGTGCAGGTGAGGAAAAAGTGAGTTACAGCGCTTGCAGATAACACTAAACAAAATGAAATTATTATTTTCCAAGTCATCCAGACAATACTGAGGAGTTGTGGTGTTGTCTCTTCATGTCAGTGTATGAAATTTTCCCAATGCTGGCTCTGTGACAGGCAGTTGGCCAGAATACTGTGGTGTTTCTTGGGAGTTGCGGAAGTTTGCTGTGGGTCTGCCATGCAAGGTGTGCATGGAGGGAGCGCTCAGCTGCAGGAACTTGCCTCTGCCTTCAGGTGCAGGAGCTCTCTCTGAGAGTCCTCAGCGTGACCTGCGGCACGAGAAGGGTCATGGCTCCCATGTTAGTACCAGACCACGTCCTGCAAAACCTGTGGAGACAGCAGGAGGGAAGTCTTGAAAGAAGGAGGGAACATTACTGCTGCTTGTGGTGCTGGTGCAAGTTAACTGACATGTGAGAACCGGGGACAGAGGGGCAGGAGGCTACTGGCAGGCCTGCAAATCCAGACAACAGAGGCTTGGAAGGGGAATTGCAATTTGCTTTGCAGGTGCTTTTGTTAATCTCAAAATGAGTGCTTACTGAAATGAGAGAAGAGCTCTTGGGTGAAGAACACACGTGTGAATAGGTCCACAGTAAACCTTGCGTTAAACTGATCACACTTCCGGGAGAGGATCAAATCCATTTTGGTCTTTGTGTTGATCCTCCTTGGAGTGCAATTTGTTAGATCTGCTTTTAAAAATGTTTAGCAAATGTAAAATTAGATTTATAAATACAAGTGTTAAAGTTAAAATTAAAAATTAAATAAAGATTAACATGTTAAAATATAAATTACCAACAAATTTATGTCTGAAAAACAGCAAACCTGAATTATGATGAGTATCTCCTCAAAGAAGAAACAAATGTGGTTTTCAACATCTTCTAGGATTTTGCTCAGGACTGGATGGTCTTTTCAAAAGTGGGAGAAGACTATATGTTAAATTTGGTATTCATAAGCAGTTCTCACCCAGACATCGTTTGCGTGGGACACGGACACATTGCTAGAGTCCGTACAGGACATAATCCACCTTTCTTTTTTTCCCACTTTTGGGATCTGCTTCGAAGTCTGTCTTGAGGACAGAGAGGAAAAGGGTTATATGGAAAAAAGCTTTGCATATTGGAGGACTTAAATAGCCCTTGCTTGCTAGCAAGTGTTACAGAGCTCCGGAGTTACACAGTGATGCCCAGGTTTTATCTCCTGCCTTCTTAGGGAGGGCTGGAGAGAGTTCTGTTTCCTTGCAAGTGGAGGAAGAGACCGCTACTGGCTGTATGTTCACTGGATGTTGTCGTACATACACATTGCCTTTTTCTTCATTAAATCCCAGCAGCTACTGGGAGGAAAATTAACTCTATCCCAGCTGAAACCAGGACAGTCACCAAGTCGAAATGTGAGAGGGAAAGTGGTCCTGAAAAGTGAAGGCTTATGGGCAGAGACTGCTGTAAAGCCATGTCTTGTGCTCATTGTGGACAGGGAGCAGTCCTGTGGTGCCTGATGGCCACCTGGCTTCTTGCTGTGCATTGGGAATATCTAATTCTTTATATGAAGTCATTTATTATTGAGTAGAGGAGGGGAGCAAGGGAAAGTTGTAAAATGCAGTTGCTGCTGTACGCCTAACTGTATAGTTAGGTGCTCAGAGAGACCACATGAAGTCCCCCTGTCTTTATGCAGGACCATGTTTTGTTGCTTCTGTCACCACAAAGAGAATATTGACTGGTATTGTGTAGTAACTTGAACTGTCTGAATAATTGGAGAACATCTGTTGAGGTCCATACCCATGGAAGGAGCCTCGCTTCTGTCGGCTGATTCGGAGCCTTCTCTGAATTCCCTGAGGTGTTTGTGTAAGGCTTGGTTAACTTGTGTATTGAGTTGTTGTGTGTGCGCCTAAAATAAAGGTAGTAGCCACCGGGAGATAGTGATCTTGCAGACTTCAGTTGCCTTCTGCTTCTTGCAGATCATAAATTTTCTGGGAGCAATCTGCAGCGCCTTGCTCTGTTCTTTCATTTCTAGTCTGCCCACTTCTGAATCAGAAAAACAAGGGAAAACAACGCCATTTCACTGAATTTCATTAGTCACTGATGCTATCTCCTTGAGTAGCCCTCACCCCTTTATGAAGTTCTTGACAGCTGCCTGTTCATATTTGAAGCTTCATACTGTCACCACATACTCGTCTGCTGAAACCAGGGCCCATATGTAAGCCTGATGAGAATTCAGCAGTTCTCTGAATGGGGTCATACCTGTTTTCTGGAGCAGGAGATGCATCTGTCCTCTGCCCGGACAATAACTTTGTCCTCTTTGCTCTCTTCTGTGCTGGTGGGCTGTGTCCTCCTTCCCCTGTAGTGACTACCTCCAAATGTGTTGGGCATCTGCATTTTCAGCTCTGAGAATCTGCTTTATCATCCGTTTGTTCACTTATCTGCCCCATTTAGTTAGGAGTGATATCAGCCTTAAAGATGCAGATAACATTTCCTAGCACTCCGCAGAAGGCTTGGATCTGCTCTGTTCCCACTTTCTTTCATCAGAGCAGTAATCTTGCAGTGCTGCTTCTGTTTCTGACTTGCAGACAAATGAAAAGCAAATGTCTGCCTACTGCTCACATTAAGATGAGCACCAATGTGAAAGGGGTCACCCTGCTTTTTGTGCCACCAAAAGGAAAGGCTACGTTGCATGGACTGGCAGTGAGCCACATAGAGAAGTCGACCTGGATTTTAATGCTCGAGTTGGCGTGGGAGGAGTACTGTTGTGAAATCAGCAGTCAATGAGCTGGAGAAGGGGGAGGAGAGGAAGATTATCTGCCTTTGATGGCACTAGCACATACAGTCAGTAGCAGCTGCAGATGGGAGGCTTGAAGCACATGGGGTTTTTTTCAGTTGCTGGTGAAACGTAGGAAGCGGCACTGCATGCTTCTGAAAAGCAGGGATGTGCGAAAGCCTGCAGTGTAGAGCGGCAGTTGCCACTGGCAAGTGATCTTCTGCCAGGGCAGTGGGAGAGGTCTGTGCTTCCATGGGAGGGATCAGGGCCTGAGCATCGGTGCAAGGCTTCACACTTCAACTGATAGAGAGTAATTCTGAAAGGAGGAGGACACTAAAGCCATAGCTGCATGGCTTGGTAGTTCCCAATTAATAGGAGGTGGTGAGAATGAAGTAAAGAATCCCATGTTTCCTTTGCACAGCTTAACATCATCTAAATCCATGGTAAGAAGCTGTGGAGAATATCACCCCCATGAGAAATTATTTTTTCAAACACTGCCTTGCTTGAAAGCATGCTTTGTGGAGCTCGGATGGAATTCTAAACCTGGTACTTCCACAGTAAAAGAAATAATTAGTTGTTCTTGACTTTCAAAGCTGCGTGCAACTGGTGACCTTTAATTTTGTCTCCTCCATCCATTACACTCAGTGTGTAACAATACTGTGTTTTCTCCCATTTATTCCTGTCACGTGCACTAGCACGTAGAATAATTCACTTTCAAACGTGTCCATCTGCTTTGACTACATCAAAGAGCTATTTTTGACTTTAGACTGTTTAAAAGCTCTTTTGAAATTCAAGAGCGCATTTTGATGCTTAGGGGGAGCTGGGCTTGTTCAGCCTGAAGAAGAGAAGGTTGAAAGGGGACCTTATAAATGCTTATAAATATCTTAAGGGTGGGTGTCAGGAGGATGGGGCCAAACTCTTTTCAGTGGTGCCCAGTGGAAGGACAAGGGACAACGGACACAAACTGAAGCATAGGAAGTTCTGTCTGAACGTGAGGAAGAACTTCTTCCCTCTGAGGGTGATGGAGCCCTGGAACAGGCTGCCCAGAGAGGTTGTGGAGTCTCCTTCTCTGGAGATATTCAAGACCCGCCTGGACAAGGTCCTGTGCAGCCTGCTGTAGGTGACCCTGCTTTGGCAGGAGGGTTGGACTAGATGACCCACAGAGGTCCCTTCCCACCCCTACCATCCTGTGATTCTGTGAGAGAGATTGTGGGATGGCCTGACTTACTGTAGGCCTGTAATGCCTTGGTATAACCTCTCCATCATTTTCCATTGCCAACATCTCAGTAACAAAACGAGCTGAAATCCATGCACTGCTAGAAGTGTGACAGTCACATACATTCTCAAACCTAGGTAAGAGCAAATGTGATTAAAAAGATGAGTTCCTAATTGTATTTGACTCCGTACGATTTGTTTGTTTTTCACAAAGTCCCTTGTTTTTGAAGGCTTGCTCACGGTTCTTTTTTTATTTCGGCAGTTTGCAACTTCATGTCTCATGAAAAGTGCCTCAAGAATGTCAAGATACCATGCTCATGTATTGCTCCCAGCCTTGTAAGGGTGAGTAAGCACACACTGCCTTGTCTCTTTCTTGGGATAATAGCACAGATTTATCACTGATGAACATGGTGTAGCACAGCGGTGGCTTGTTAGTATCGTAATGCTTAGATCAATTGTGTTAGTCATCACTGAGGCTTTTATAGCTGCTCAAAGGCAAGCTTACATGTCCTTCGAGAAGTCCCTGCTATGGGCAGCAGTGGATAGTCTTTCTCTGAAGAGCAGTTATTTGGATTCTGTAAATATTACTAGATGTTCTTACTTGTGTGTCATTACCTAGAAGCCTTGCAATAATGGAGTGGGTTGACTGATTGATGTCAGTGGTCTCAGAAAACTGTATTGTGTGTCATACTAAAGAAGAACTCTGTACACCACCACATTTTTTACAGCAATTACATCTTACTGTGAGAATGCTAAAGCTTCTTTGCCTAGCAAAGGGGCTGTATTCGGCTTCTGTTGATTGCTGCATCTTAAGAGTTTGCTTGTTTGTTGTGTCCAGGGAATAAAGTCATTACATTAAAAGCATAGGATTTCAAAGCGAAAAAGTCAGAGGGCAGGACTTCAGTTGGTGGTGATAATTAAAATTTATTTATTTTGGTAGTTAATAAAGTGTGTGCTTTCAGATGTCTTGTAACTTTTTCCTCCTACAAGACTTCATGCTTAAGCAATTGCTTTTAAAGGGTGTGAAAGATGGATCAACTTTAAAGAAGATAAGAGGATGCAACTAAGGTGATAAGAAGCTAAATTGAGGAGAAAACAAAGTGTATTATCCATTTCGGAAAAGATGACAGAGAAGGAAAAAGGAAGAAGGAGATAAGAAACTTACTAAAATACCTTAAGGAGCCAAATGCAAAAGTCAGCTGAGACGTGGCTGTAAAATCAGAATTGTGTGCATTACAGACTTCGCTGACTATAAGCACATTTATGGGAGCACATTGTGTAGGCCTGTGAAGAGGAGATGATTCCCTTCTTTCTATCCTAAAAAGCTTTACGAGTTCCTTTATGTTGTTGAAATCTATGTAGGGGATGAGATGGGACGGTTTAAAACAATGTGTAACTCAAGTTACAGGAATTGGAAAGAGAGAAATTAACCACTTGTTTTTCTTAAATTTGCTTTGTCTAGATGATAACGCTGTTAGGCTTTGCTATATGCCTGCTCTTCCCTTTCCTCCTGAGAGGTATAACTTTGGTGGCAAAACAGTGTCTGATACATAGAAAGTTGCCAGTGAAATAGTAAGAAATATTGCTCTAAACCCACAGTAAAGGGACACGTAGGTAGTGAGAAATGCTATTCCTAAGAATTGTCACCTACTACTGTTTCAGTATGCTGGCGATCAGTCATTGTAGTATGGGAAGAGGGACAGTGAGTCAGATGAGAGGTATCATTGCAGGGGCCTTTGGGGGGGTGGTACAAGTCCAACTCGAAAGCATTCATTTAATGCAGAGTGTCAGAGTTGTAAACATTTGTGACTGCTTCTTTTGTGAATTTGCTCTGAATATAAGTCATTGTTCAAAACAAGCATGCTTTCCTTTGCTTGTGCGTGGTAAAAGTTCTGCATTTAAACTTACTAAAGTTTCCACTTGCATCAATAATGGGTGTCAGTAGTTTTTTCTTCTTTTGCCAGGCCCCATTCTCTACCTGTCCCAACATGTGAATTTTAACTAGTTGTTTATTGTTTACACATAAAATCTAGCTATCCTTGCTTTGCAGTAAAATTTGTTTTATCTGAGGGGTATTGTCAGCCCTCAAAGCTGTTTGCAGTTCGCTGTTGCTGTATTTAGCTGCAAAGAGTCTTCTGCATTATCTGTGTTGATCTATAATGATTATGTTTTGAAAATACTGGATTGTGGTATTCTTTCTGGACAATCTTGTTCTCCTTGATGCAGTCATCCAAGTTGCAATAATCCTGGTCTCCTGTGGAAATGAAGTCTGCCATATGGGAGACATTGTTTTGCGTGCCGGCTCTGTCAAAGTAAATATGGAACTTGGCATTTGCTTAAAATATAACAGAGCAAAAACCAAATTATAATCATTTATAGACTGTGTGGAAAGTTTATTTTCTTAATCTCGCTGCTGTCCTTTCAGATTATTTATTATTTATTTATTAAAGGTCTGACATAGGGGAGAATACTGGTGGGATTTTTTCTGATAGTTCTTTTTAGTATGTCAGTGTTCAGTGGATTACAGAAATGAGATTTTTTTTTTAACCCACTGGATTTCATCTAAAGAAGATGGCAGTTGTTAAAGCTCATTAGAGTGTGTGTGTCATTTGATACTAAGTCAAATTGTCAGAGAAAATTTTTCAGCAGATGTTTCATGGAAAATTTTGTTCCTGAGAGCAGAGTTTCCTTCCTAGGGTCAAGCAAGGCCCACAGAGTCACAAGCACGCCATGAGTGCATCCAGCCTCAGGTCTTTTTCGATGAGTTCACTTTTAAGACTGCCCAAAGACTTTTTTTGCACTATTATTAATCATTATCACTTCCCTTTAGTGTTGCAGACTGGATCCAGGTCACAGTGTTTCAAAACAAGACTTCATGGATCAGTCTCCTGAATAAATTTGTGGTTTTTTATGGTTTGCAGAGGATATGATTTGTTTCACTGGTAAGGTCTCAGCACCTTTTCTGGACTCAAAGCCTCTCTCCCCCACACTCCCATAAGTAATTGCCTGCTCTAAGGTATGTGTAAGAAAACAAAACAACAGCAAAAAACCCCAAACAAAACAAACCCTAAACAAAAACCCCCAAAATACCATGCATCCCCAAACCCAACACCCACCCACCAACAAAACCAAAACAAAACCCAACAAAAACCAAAATAACAGTGAAAACAAAACGTCTTTAATTGGGTATGAAATGTGAAGTTTTATTTTCCCTTATTAGGTTGGAGTTGAAGCTGTATTACAAGTTTTTAACCCTCTAGATTTGCCATAGAAGCGTGTGTGTGTTTTCTCTATAACTGTTCTTTGAAAGCCAAGTGGAAGTTAGGCATTTCTTGTGGTTGTTTTTCCTTCTTGTTGTGTTGGTGCATTGCTGTAATGGTTTCTAAACATGTCTACTTCAAGAAGGGTTGCTTGTGAAACTTATTGTGTGCTTTTGTTCTTAAAAGCAGGTTGTCAAGAACAGAAAAATGATGGTTTAGGTCATCAAGCTTCTCCTGAAGCTTTCTATGCTAAAACTAAAACTTGGCTTTGTAGTTCAGAATGTGGATAGCTGCTGTGTTCACAGGTTGTGATAGTGAATGGGAGGGTTGTGGTGCTCACAGAGGTCTCTGCTCGGGCAGGCAAGTATTGCCCTTGCCTGCTGACCTGAGTCTTTCCCTCTGGCTGCTGGATTCAGCTGTGTGCAGGTGGTTATTTGGTTTGGTTCTTCATGAGCTGAAAGTAGAAGAGATGAAAAAAGGATACTCGGGTTGGGGTAAGTCCCCCTAACCTGTCTTCTGGTAGTCTGTTCTGTATTGGACACTTTGTATACACAACAGGAGCATCTCATTTTTCTGCAGATGAAGGACTTCTGTACTGGGATGCAACCTCTTTTTGTTTACTTGCTCTCCCTACTTCTGTTCACTGCCTAAGAAGCAATGGGAAGCTCCAACAAAGTGCAGGACAAAGATCCTCAAGGTTTGGCTACTGCTTCCCTTGCCTTGGAATAGTAAATCCCCCAGTCTCATTCAGCTGTCGGAAATGTCTGATGGATTTTTGTGTGACTGCCTCGGAGAATTAGCTTTTAAGGAATGTTGTTGCAAATGACTCATAGACATTTTAACAAATGGCAGAGAGCTTGGCAAACTGGTAAGGAGAATTTGATGTGGTTGGATTGAGTGGGAGTTCTGGAGAGTACAGGGGAAAACAATCAGAATCTGATTTTGGAAGATCATTCCTTGGTGGTAGTTGCAGGTGTTGGAGGCTTTATATCAGCATGGTTAGAACATGCTGCAGTGAATGCTTGTTGAACTTTTACTGCTTCTCCCAGCAGACTGTCATAGAAGACAAGTTGAAATGCAATGTTAGTGAATAAACTGGTTGGCATACTATTGTTACATCTCATCTTCAAATTACTGTATATATGGTATGCATCAGTAAAGGGACTTTTTATCCTGCCCCTCTTGTTCTGTGTTTTTGATGGTGATGGTGGTGGAGTTAGATCTGTAGCATGGACTCGACTTCATAATATATATGCTTAATATTTTTTCTCTTTTATATTAAATATTATCAAAACAAGTTGGAGAAAGTTCTTTTTTCTCTCTTGTGAGGGTTTTTTCACACAGTGTGCTAACAGTGGTTGGACCCCATGCTGACCTTTTTGGCAGAGCTTGTTGTGATAGAACAAGGAGTCATGGTTTTAAACTAAGAAAGGGTAGTTTCAAGCTACAGATACACAAGAAATTTTTTACCATGAGGGTGGTGAAACACTGAAACAGGTTGCCTGGGGAGGTGGTAGGTGCCCTCTCTGTGGAAACATTCAAGGTCAGGTTGGACAGTACGCTGAGCAACCTGGTCTAGTTGAAGATGTCCCTGCTCACTGCAGGGGTTTGGGCTAGATGACCTCTAAAGGTCCCTTCCAACCCAAACTGTTCTATGATTCTATGATTATACCTGAGTGCTTGCTGGACAGTCCTGACGCCCTTTACCGAGAAAGTCCGTCTGTAGTTCTTTGACACTTGGCCCATACCTGCGTTGTTTCAGCCAGGCAGTTGCTTGGTGTGCAGCAGCCACATGGCATAATTTAGAAGCCAAACGAGGTGTAAGACAGCTTGCTGGTAAATTTGACATTACACCAAGGTTTCCTCCTGTTCCTCCTCAGAGTGACAGTCCCTTTAAACCTGAGGTTAAAGGGAAGGGCTAGTACCAACTAGTTCATAAACTCAGGAGAGCCTATTATGTGCCATTGAAACTTGATGCAAGCTGCCTGGCAGCCTGCAAACTCCCAGACGAGCCCTGTAGCTCTATCAGAAGTGGTATGGGATGTCACTGTGTGTGATTCTTTTAATTCTTGATCTTTATCT